TTTTTTTTTTGAGTCAGGGTCTCACTCTGTTGCCCAGGCTGGAGTGCAGTGACATGATCACAGCAACCACAGCTCATGGCAGCCTCAACCTCCTGGGCTCAGGTGATCCTTCCACCTCAGTATTCTGAGTAGCTGGGACTATAGGTGTGCATCACCACACCTGGCTAATTTATTTTATTTTGTTTATTTTGTTTTTGGTAGAGATGAGGTTTCACTGTGTTGCCCAGGCTGGTCTCGAACTCCTGGGCTCAGGCGATTCTCTCACTTCAGCCTCTCAGAGTGCTGGGATTTCAGGAGTGAGCCACTATGCCCAGCTGTTGCCTCTTAAACACCCAGGGAAGGAAACTTTCTTGAGTGGGAGATGTTCTGTGTCATGTTCATATGCCTGGAACTGGCCATTAGTACACTTAGAACTAAGTAGACCAAGAATGCTCAGTAGAAGGAGTGATCCTGAAAGCGTCCACCGGGGGTGGAGGTGTGGGTATTTGGACTTCTCTCTCGCTTTCCTCTCTAGGCGGATCTCCTTCTCCTTTCCAGCAGCGAGCCCCATGGGCTGTGTTACATAGAGACGGCGGAACTCGACGGGTGAGTGGTGTGCTTAGTGTTGGTCCTCTTGTTCATCTCCTTGGGGCTAAAGACATTGTCTTTGAAAGAGATTCCCAGGTCTAGGCTTGATCTAAACTTGGAACATTCAGGGGTAAGAAAGGCTTTGACTTTGTGGAAGTGTGACCCACCCAGTGTTTCTGGGCTCAGCAATTATGCCCTGTGTTTAGATGCCCCCGGTAGAATCTAGAGGATGTGGCGGGAGCCAAGACTCAGGGATACTGTCTTTCCAGAGAGACCAACATGAAAGTACGTCAGGCAATTCCAGTCACCTCGGAATTGGGAGACACCAGTAAGCTTGCCAAGTTTGATGGTGAGTAGTCTCGGAAAGCAGCCTTCAGGTAGAATAGGAGAATTGGGTTTTGAGGTTTAAATGGTACCTTTCCCTTTCAGCTTCTTGTCGCCATGATTATGTAACTTCCTGGACTTTTTGGGGACTGGGAGTGTTGGGAATGCCCGGTGGCTACCATGTGGTTTTGAGTTGGTGATCATTTCAGTTGATCATCAGCTGGCTGTGGCTGACTGATAACTCCCCACTTACTGTGCATGTTGAGAAATTCAGCTTATTCCTTTTGTTTCTTAGTTCAGAATAATGATATATGTTACGTGTGTGTGTGTGTGTGTGTGTGTGTGTGTTTGAGTTGTGGTCTCACTCTATCAGCCAGGCTGGAGAGCAGTGGCATGCTCCTAGCCACCACAGCCTAGGCCTTCTGGGCTCAGGTGATCCTTCTGCCTCAGCCTTCTAAGTAGCTGGAACTTCAGCCACCATGCCTGGCTAATATTTTTATTTATCGTAGAGACGAGGTCTCATCAACTTGCCCAGGCTGGTCACCAACCCGCGGGCTCAGTCAGTCCACTCACTTTGGCCTCCCAAAGTGCTGGGAGTATAGGTGTGAGCCACCGTGCCTGTCCCCCCCTTTTCTATTTTTGAGTCAGAATCTCACTCTGTGGCCCAGACTAGAGTATAGTGGCACACTCATGGCCACCTCAGCCTTGACCTCCTGGGCTCAGGGGATCCTTCCCCCTCAGCCTTCCAAGTAACTGGGACTACAGGCGAGCACCACCATACCCAGTTGGGTGGGTGGAAAAGGTAAAACAAAAAATGACAGAAGCACTAAAAGACATCAGAATGGACAAATGCAGGCCGAGTGCTGTGGCTCACGCCTGAGCACTTTGGGAGGCTGAGGTGAGAGGATTGCCTGAGTTCATGGGTTTGAGACCAGCCTGGGCAAGTTGGTAAGACCTCATCTCTGCAATAAATCGAAAAATTAACTGGGCATGGTGGTGCATGCCTGTAGCTCCAGCTGCTTAGAAGGCTGAGGCGGAAGGATCACCTGAGCCCAGCAGGTAGAGGCTGCAGTGGCTGTGAGCAGCATGCCACTGCACTCCAGCCTGGGCGACAGAGTGAGACTCTGGATCGGAAAAAAACCAACTGACAAGTATAAAAACTTTTGAGCAGTGGAAAAAGCGTCTTGATAGGTGTATTGCATCAAATGGAAAATACTTTGAAGGTGACTAAAGTTTAAACATGCAAGAATAAATGCACAGTTTTTTATAAGTAAGTTCTGAATTTTTGAGAACCCCTTCGTATTCTTTCATGCTGTCTCATCCTTTTCCTGAAAAGCCTCATCGGCTCCCCGCTCCCACCAGCAGCGCGAGGAGGGACTCAAGTTCTTACATCCTTTCCCACAGGTGCTTTTTCTCTCTGTTTGTCCTGTGGTCAGGCTGTAGAACGGGACCTTGAGCAGTGGCACCCTTGTCTCCCATTCAGGTGAAGTGATCTGCGAACCTCCCAACAACAAGCTGGACAAATTCAGTGGAACCCTCTACTGGAAGGAAAACAAGTTCTCCCTGAGCAACCAGAACATGCTCCTGCGGGGCTGTGTGCTGCGAAACACTGAGTGGTGCTTTGGGCTGGTCATCTTTGCAGGTGAGTCTCCTAGCAACCAAAGAAAGAAGGGTAAGAGGTCATGACTCAGCCAGCCCTCCCTTGGGAGGAGGGAAGAGCCTTGTGGTTTGGTAGGATGTGTAAGGTAAAAGCCTCCAGCCTTGAATACAAGCTTCTTGTCCAGCCAGTGTCTCTGTTCCACCCTGTTCTCCAGTCTGGGGGTCAGGGGAGAAACCAAGGCAGATGCGCCACTTGGCATTCCCAGCCCTTCTCATTCTTTTCTAGGTCCTGATACTAAGCTGATGCAGAATAGCGGCAGGACAAAGTTCAAAAGAACAAGTATTGATCGCCTCATGAATACACTGGTGCTCTGGGTAAGGCTTCCCACATCTGGGTCCCTGCCTCTGGTCTTCTGCTTCTACTTGGCTCTCGTCTTCCTGGCTCACTTGGCTTCAGGTTTGACTTTAAAGCCACTGGCAGGTCAGTTACTCAGAGGCAGTGTTTCTTTCAGGCTCCTTTTAGAGTCGGAAGATATTATTTTAAAAAAACCTCAGGAACGTGCATGAATCAACAACTTAAAGCTAAAACAAATCATCCCTTCTCTGAATTCTAGGTATGATGATGCCTTAGTGCAGCATGTGACCTTCTGTTTGCTTTTGCCAGGGACAAGGAGGCCTTCATGGGGACGGAGAGGGAATTATAAGAAAAATTTCCATTTGGAAGAGGTTAGCAGGGTCTTCCCCTAACTTCTAAGAATGAAGAGTCCCAAAGGAAAAGTTGCTGTTTGCGTTTTTTGGCAATTCCTGAATCCTTCTCTTGTTTAGCTAGAAATCTGAGCTCCTTGTCAGGCTCTCCTCCCCTTCTTGCGTCCCTACTGCCTGCTGCCTGCCCGCTACATGCCAACTTGCAAAGGCTGGGGCCGGCCTCTGGTGAGACAGTGTCCGCCCTGGCTTTAAAGAGTTTGCGGAAAGTCAACCTGGGGGAGTGTGGTTAAGTCTCTCATGCAAAGGCTCGAATTGCCCCCTGGTGGTCATTGGGCACCAAGATCCTTCCTGTTTTGTTTCTTTTCTTGGTTTTTTTTTTTTGAGTTGGAGTCTCACTCAGCCCAGGCTGAAGTGCAGTGGCATGCTCAAGGCCACCGCAGACTTGACCTGCTGGACTCAGGTGATCCGTCCACCTCAGCTTCCAAGTAACTGGAACTCCAAGAGCGCGCTATCACACCCAGCCAATTTTTTGATTTATTGTGGAGATGAGGTCTCAGTAAGTTGCCCAGTCTAGTCTCAAACACCTGGGGTCAGGCAATCCTCTCACCTCAGCCTTCCAAAGTGCTGGGATTACAGGATTGAGCCACCGTGCCTGGCCACGCCCACTCTTACCATCTTCGAGGACACCTGAAGATTCCAGGTTGCCTGACTGGGAGCTTATCATCTATTGCAAGTTCTCCATGCTACGGATACGATAGTGTTCAGAGAACAGGCCACGTGATGGTCAGTGACAGACTAAACCTGTCCAGTAAAGCATACTGCCTTTGTTTTTGTTTTTGTTTTGAGTTGGAGTCTTACTTTGTTACCCAGGCTGGAGTGCAGTGGCACGCTCATGGCCACCACGGCCTCCACCTGCTGGGCTCAGGCAATCCTTCCCCCTCAGCATTGCAGGTAGCTGGAACCACAGGCCTCAGCCACTATGCCTGGCTAATTTTTTTTTTTTTTTTT